TAAGACCCTGAACGTCTTCAGCCCTTTTTTTTTTTTTTTTTAAGAAGACAGAACCATAATAATTCTGTTTAAATGCAACAGTTTCCTCCACTTCCGAAGTTAGGAGAGAATTTTTATTTCTTTCTGCCTTGAAAACATAGGTCTCATTCGGCCTCAAGGTGGCGATACAATTGTGATAGTCGTTTTCTCTCAAGGCTGCAAGGACAGACTGAATCCATCTGGGTTATTTCTTTTAGTGCTAAGAGGAGAGTTCTTGGTAAAGAATCAGAGTGGCATTACTGCTGCAGCTCTTGTCGCTAAAACAACTCGGCATTATTAAAAGTTGGAAATAAAAAGTTAAAGGGAAGATAAATTCTCAAATAAATTCCTAGTTAGGATTCTCAGAACAGGATTTAAGAAACTATTATCACTAAACCTATACAGTATTCCCAAACGCATCTCATACATATGCATATTATAATTAGCCTAATTGGATAACAATTGTTTACAGCTTTGGTGAGTAGCATCTTTTTTAAAAGTATAATTTTTTATATATATGATCAATATAGCTCATTATTATGTAAATGCTCAAGAGGATGTTAAGGAAGGAGTGAAGAACTAGCAAAATAAACTCATGCTCACCTAAAAATTAAGGAGTACGTAATGCAAACTCCGGGGGGGGGGGGGGGGGGGGGGATAATGTATATTTATTCTAAGTGATTTTCTACCAAAAAAAAGTGCTTTCCCCAAAACAGACATTCAATGTACTAAAATGTTCTTTTTCTCTCTAAACACACAGACCATGAAAACTTAGCCTAAATGCCCCACAGAAAAATGAAGAAAGAAATTTTTGAGACAGAGGACAATGTAAGGAAAACATCAGCTTTGTACTATAAGACTTATCTAGTGTAAGGGTTTTTTCAAGTTAAGTTGATGTTCATTGCTGTGCATTCATGTCTTGGTACTTATTTTCAAGAAGGGCAAGAAGGAAGATCTAGTTGAGCTACAAGCCAGTCAACAAAATTTCAGTGCCAAGGAAATTTATGGGAAAAATCCTTCTGGAAGCCATTTTCAAATTGGGTGGAGTATCCACTGCATGAGTAGCCACAGGAAACACCTGGAGGCTCTGCAAAACCATCTGCAGCTGCATAATAGTTGAGCTCTCATAGCTGAGCTACTAGAGGTGAATTGTAGAAACGTTTCTACCATCAGAAATTCTACTGAAATATTAACACTTTCCCACTGCAAATAAAAGATCAGAAAAATTTAAATTGTGATTGCTCAGATATTCTGGTACCTTATGTGCAATTTGCCCTGTCATTTATCATGCTAAACATTCACAAGAATGTATCAGAGATAAAGCACAACCCATACTCTTCCCACATAGAAATATATTCTCATGTGCAATTCAGTTGCAAAACCCAGATTAATTAAATTTGTTCAAGATTTTGATAAGCGCCAACTGTTCAGAGGAGAGTACAATTCTGACTATGTTGACATGTTCACCCTTACAGATGCTATAATGAATATCTTCATTAAAACAATATATATTTTTAAAATAAAAAACCAGTAACTCAGCCAGTTATTAGCATACAAGCACACAATAAACAAGAAGGCTTTGTTTTTATTTTCCTCATTTTAATCCACTGCTATAGTAGCATTTAAATTTACATGACAGTGTTTTTCCAGATCATTGGCCATAATATAACTCCTTGATCCATTAAAATGGTATGTCTGCTAGTGCCTAACTGATTGAACCTCTTCCATGCACAAATGTTTGGAAAATCCCATTAGGAGGAACCAAATATTTTTTTTTAAAAAAGGAGCAGTGAGTACCACACACAAGCACCTTTACGTATTAAGTGATTTAAACCTGTTGAGGGACAACCAGAACTATATTCTGAGTCAGACTTGAACACAGAAACCATAACAATCCTATTAGCTTTGCAAAATACTTTTTTTGGTGTGAGTTATAACTCAGGAAAGACCCCATATTTAAGGTATAAACAGCACCTGTGTCTTCCAGACTGGGGTAGAGGGACATATTTCAAGGTAATATGAGCATGAAGGCTACAGAGACCTTCCTGTTGATGAAACAAAGCATTTCAGAAGCTTAAATATAGTACTCCACTATTATAATGAAAAGTGATTGGTATGAGCTCTACAGATACACAGGACAAAAGATGGCATTTTCAGACCAAGAGGATTCAGTCTGCTGAAAAGATAGAATATAAAAATGAAATAGAGAACACAGCACTTGAAAGCTAAGAGGAACTGAAAAGACAGATGAATAGCTGCTTAGAAAGCTATAACTGACCATGGAATGCAAATTGCACAAAGACAAAAGATTCAAGAACTTCAAACTAAAGTGAGGCTTGAAGAGAAACTTAATTTATTTAATCCACAGTAAACATAGTTGGCACTGTGGTTCAAATACCACTCTCCTAATACAGACAGAGTAGTCTCCCTGGAACGTTATTTAAACAGTCCTTCAACTGCAGAGGAAAACAACTTCTGCTAGTACGCATGCATTATGCTTTGATATTGTGGAGTAAACACAAATAAACCAGAGTAAAGATGAAAACTAGAAGCACGAATGTCAAGGTCACTTCAAATGTCCTATACTTGCTTCTTGGCAAAAGTCTCTAGAACAAATTGAGAAAAGGCTTATGGAACGGCACTCTTTTTTTGATGTAAAAATCCGTGGTTCTACATTTTCATAAAATGGAACATGTCTATCTATCTTATTACCAATTACAAGTTGCAATAAAGCTGAACCGATTCCATTTTGCTTGCTTTTTTTTTTTTTTTAACAAAACAGGTTGTCCCAAATTCTATTTTTAACATTAAGAAGCTAAACTTGCTTCAATTCTTAAAAACTGATCAGAGCTACCACCCATAACTCAAAAATCTTTCTTCAAAAATTGAATTGATTAGTCTCAACAAAATATTTCAATTTCAATGAAATGACATTTTTTTTAAACACAAAATTAATTCTCTAAAACCATTTCATCACACATACTACCATTAAATTACTTGTATTAGTGTTCCCAATCTCTGTTATGGTCCCTTCAGCTTCTTTCCTACAAAAAGATGCTTAAAATACTGAGGCTGAAGGAATTAAGTGTGAATTAAAGCCTCATTGAAACAGAGAAGGAGGTTGGCTCTTATAGCAATCCATTAAGCCTTCCCAGAAGACATCCTAGTATCAGCTGAGCTGTATGTGTGGGACAGACACATTGCACACGTGTCTTTAAGTGCTTTGTACTTCACAGGCTGCTTAGACTAATACTATGTGCTTTGGAAATTGTCATGGTAACAACATATTTCTTTACAAATGGCAACAGTATAGTAAATAGGCATATAAAAACCCCTTTTAGCCTGACAATTACGTTGCTTAAGCTTGCATGCCCTCCATCAATGACAAACAGAAGCAAGGGTTTCAGTGGCATGTGGAAAATCCACATGCAGGGCAAAATCCTGTTAACAGGCCTCACACACCACTGGACAAGCGAAGGAATCCCCATTCAAGCAGCAGGGCGACCTTCAATTCATGCCAGGTCGACAGACTTGGCAGGTGGAGGAATCATCATGGTGTAGTACAAGAAATAAGTACCCAGGGAACACTTTTTGTTAAGGCAGTGGGTAACTTTAGTTGTCAGAACCCCACAATAGTCAAACACTAGTTAAAACTGGGCAAAACAAACCATCCATCTTCCCAGATACACATATGACAGTCAAATTTCTTGTCTGCTAAAATGAGTGAAGATACATGGGGTTCACCTGAAATTGTACTGGCTTGCTAGCTACTACAGTCTGAGTCTATTATATGTTACAGACGGGTAACTGAGAGTGTGTCAGAGAATCCTGTTGGTTTTCTCTGTTCCTGTGCTCATTTCTCAGGTCAACTGAGGCCACCTCTAAGCCAGCCAGCCATTGGAAATCCATAGCACATCACCGATGTTTTAATACCTTTCAAAACTATTCTTTCACTTCCCATCTATGCTGACATAGAACGATGGAAACGTTGTTGAATCCAAAAGGGGCAACACAATTACATTTTCATCTAAATTTTTCAATATTTTAATCTGTTTCTTTCTTGCTGTTTTTTCTGTAGAAATATTACTTGTTTAAAGTGAAGTTTACATGAGTCAGTCATTTCAGACACTTCAAGGAAATAACCTGAAGCATCCTCTCTATTGTCTTTTGCAACAAAATACAGACTTTCAGTAAACAGAGGTTAAAAAAAGGATGCTGACACATTTTCAATAAGCAGATTAAAAAAATTAATTTTGACAACTATTCCCAAACTTCCTTTCTACTTCCATCTCAGGATCCATTTAATATTGTAATAGCCTTAGGAGTAACACTGTACAATGTCTTTTATACTGACAAACCAGATAAGTAAAATGTTGTCTGCAACCTGTCAGGTTCTGTAGAGCTTGTGTCATTTTCCCTCTTTGATAGCACACAAATTATATATAACAACTGTTGTACTTATCTGTCACAGAAAAAAATAAAAAATCCAGTATTTTCACGTTCAACTCGACTCTAGAAACAATGAAAAAGACAGAGTTCCTGTCCTGAGTACTTCATTCCCCCTTGACTGCATATAGAGATTTTTTGCTTCAAAGACAGCAATCATCTGAATGATTAATTTCTCTACTAATCTTGACTGAGATTTAGATTTAGAATGAGCAAAGAACAATAAAATGGATGTCTCAGTTAAATTTGTTCCCGTTGAACCAGTGGCAATACTCGTGTCCCTCAGTGAAAGAAGCAGCAACTGCAACTGAACGCTTTTGAAAATTCTGATTTATCAAGCAAGCTAATTTTCCACTAAAAGAATCATATATTCCAACACATGTAAGCAGTTATGGTTGTAAACAATTATCCCCAATTCCTACTTTCTAACAATGAACAACTATCCGGTAATCAGCTGTATTCCAACTTTAAAATCAAGAAACTCGCAGTTTTTACCAGTTAAGAGAGGAAAATAAATACATGGAGCGTGATCCTACCTGTGGGTCAGACAGTCGAGAAAGGTCAGGGTACAAGTAGAATTTTATCCCTTCGGAAGCACCTGGTAATGTTACTCCACGAATCAGAAGAATCATCAACATGATATAGGGAAACGTGGCTGTTACATATACAACCTAGCAAGAAGAAGCAAACATTAGAAAAATATTTTCTTCCAATTGCAACAAAACCACCTCATTTCTACATCCATTTTGCTATTAGATTTAAAAAAAAAAAAAAATAAAAAAAAAAAAAATTCCTTTTCTGGAGGGAAAGTGGTTTTGATGCTTTTATTTGTGCAGGTGAATTCTGTCCTCCAACCACATTCCCTTCTGAACTATTTATATCTTGTAGGAAATGTCAACACTTTTTTAGAGAGAGATTAGGAAGTTCCATTTAAGTACCTTATTTAATCTCTCTTTGTGACAGGTGACCAGACACTATAGCAAGTGTACCTGTACACTATACCACACACTATTCCAAACACAGATACAGGGAAAATGACTCATAATAGCAAGGAATTAATTGGATTATATATATTAGATAACAACATACACAATGAATTCTCCGTCACCTGGTAATTACCAAACTGTCATTTCATCAGACTGCTTTGCCTGCATATCTGTATGTGAGGAGTAAACATTTCATCAAGCCTAAAGTTTAAATGCTATGTGTATCTCCTTGCAATCTGCTACAGTACCCTTATCATACAAAGTACCATCAGGCAAAATTTCTTAAGTGCTCAAGCCCAGCAATTTCTGTTTGCACATATATTCACATTTTTTCTTCAGAATCAGTTCACTCTGTGCACAAGCAAGTGAACTTTTCTGGAAACCTGCAAGAAGTCATGTTTTCCAAAGGAAAAATTGAGCAGAATTGATCCCATTTTACAATCAAAAACCTAAGAGCAGTATATAGCTATTAAAAACTTTGAGATGGATTAAATGATAAACTCCATGTCACTATAAATATTTCCTTTAAATAATAACATACCTTAACTCTCCATAATTCTCTATAGCCATTTCTGCCTGTGCAGAATATGTCTAAAATATCCTAATATGAGATACTGTTATACACGTGCCTTGCACAAGTCAAAATTACTTAACAAGCTGCAAGAATGGGAAAAATCATTTGCTGAAAAATACAAGCTGTATAGCCCTCAAAAAAATGCATTTTGAATTCAAAAGTTTATTATCTGTCTCATGCCTACGTAAATGAAAGAGATACATCAGAGAATGCACCCATGAAAGGATTCTCAAACACATTTTCCTGACTAATGAACTGAAATTTGATTTTCAGACCATGCTGAATATTTAACCCCAAAGATGAAATCATCTCATGTGTACCTCAGCTGGTATGCCCAGAAATGAAGGAACTCAAAATAACATGGCAGATCTTCCAACATGTCCAGCTGCCCAAAACAGACTTAAGACACTTCACTGACCTTAACGGGAGGTGAGCATCTATATATCTTTCAGCTGTCTTACCCCTTTTGAAAATAAAAACCATGATTTTACCAAAAAATGGAGACAACTGTTATACTCCTATAGGTCTCAGAAGCCTGAATTGCTGAATTCATGGGTCAATAAAGTGCAAACCAAAGCTTTATCCCAGTGCTTACATTTATTATAACTATTAGTGGAAATGCAAACTGATATGACTGGCTGAGTTCAAATAGACCTTGTCTCAAAGAGACTGCTCTCCACATTTAGGTTTCACAAACAATGGATAATCCGTTAATGAGAAGAAACACAGAATGGACATGGTCCTGCTCTGAGTCTTCTATTGGGTGGAAAGGATGGAGTAGCCAGCAACTGGTTTTTGTGTTTCCATATTTAATTCTCTACCAGCTATTTTCGTCTACATCTTTTAAATGAGTAGTTGCATTTAATAGAGGATAGTCAACAGACATATACATTTGATGACACGGAAGGTACTGCACCTGAATATCCCTTATAACATTAAAGAATAACATTTCATTGCATCATACTGCATTAACTGTATTGGTTTGCAGCCTGCTATCTTGCATATTCTGCCACTGCTTTGAAACATTTTACATCAGTAAACAGATTGCAATTTTGTAGACACAGTTTTTTTCCCAGGTTCCTTTGGGTGTATTTCCTCACTCAGCTCCATGAAATACCTGAAAGAGCTCATCGCTATGCCCAAGAGAGGTCAGGTAAAGGTACCCTTGTACAGCACTCTGGAATCCCACACCCATATCCAGGCTTGTAGAGCTACACTTCAGTTTCCTATTTGATTTTCCAAATGTCTTCCACAGCCTATCTGCACCTATTAATGTTATTGCAAGTACTAGAACCACAACCTCTAGCATAAATTTTTTTGTCATGCCTCAGCTTTAGAGGACTGAGGACTCTCCTTCCTTTCTGGTTACCATGCAGAAAGAAGATATAAATAAAGTGCAACTGGCTCAGCATTTCTGGCAATATGTACTAATACAGATACCCAGAACAACAATGAAAGAGATACCAAGGAAGCATGTGTGGGAAAGATAACACCCTTCCTGAGTCAATTGACATTGTTGACAATGCATCAGTGCTAGTACTGATACAGCTAATAAGGCTACTAAAACTTCACGCTTCTCTTGTACTGCAACAGGTACGTGCATTGCATTCAGAGAGGGGAGAGACGGCCACGACTGGTAGGTGGTGTTCGAGTCTCCCAGTGTGTTGAGCCACTTAATTCCATTGCATCCAGTGCATCAGTTGCTCATTTTATCATGCTTCTCAAGAGCTCATGAGGTGAGGGAGGATGGGGCATTTTAGAAATCAAATGCCATTATTAGTATCATCATCACATCTGTAGGCATTAAAAGTTTCCTGAATTGTTTTCTTTTCTTTCAACACATCAAACCTCTCTGAATATAAATGTGAACACAACTGTTTCTAATTACACTGCATCCTGTTTTAATTGACTTTAATTGCTTGGTATGTTAATTTGCATTCCAATGCTCGAAATGCTTTTTTTAAACCCTTGTCAGAGCAATGCCAGTGTTTAAGCAGTTGGAAACAAAATCAAAATTTCTGGCATGCTAGTTTTTTGCACCAAGTTCTCCTATTACAATGTAATTGAAAGACAAGTTTACAAAGATATTTAGAGATACAAGTATGTGGAAATGCACCTACTGGGATATCTAACAGCTCTTAAGCATACTTAGGTGCATGACTGAAAGTACACCAAAGGATCAAAGGACCAAAGATCCTGAAAACAGATATTTCATTGACTACCATGAGCTTTATGTACCAAAGTACTGGAAGTACCAAGTACTGGAACTTTAAATACCAAAATCTTAAGAGACTTAAATGTTTATATCACTCAAGGTTAGTTATAAAGATATCAAGGCATCTCTACACTGATTTCATGAGTAAGGCAACATAAAGATCCTGAGAACTTGACTAGCTGCCAGTTTGCATCTTTTCATATGTGTGTATCTTTAATATGGTGCAGAAGTTCAAATTTGGCTACTGGGACTGTTGAACTTGTCCTAAATGAAAAGGTGCTTTTCCGAACATTCTGATGAGATCATGCCACAGAAGTTCAAGTGAAGGTGACTTGGCTTGTGAGAAAACACAGAAGAAATACATCACAAATCTGTTGGAAATAAGAAGCCCTGCATGCAATGAATTGAGCCACACACCCACAGAAATCTAAAAGACTAAAACCAGATTTCTCTGGCTGCAGCTACTGCAGAACATACCAGCCGATGTTCACGCGCTACCTCACAGCAGCTTCTTAGAAAGGTAAGTCATGAATAGGAAGGAGCAAAGTTTAATCCTTGGCTCTTGCTGAGAACATAACTGAACTAGAATTCAGTGAAGGAAATGTAACTTTCTGAGGCTAGGAAGTTTAGGGAATTCTTTGCTGCAAGCTGCAATGCTTGAGCTTGTTTGCACTATAATGGTTCATCAGAATCAGCAAAATTACTGATTTTTCTATTTTCTCTGTGTGTTTTAAAGATTTATTCAGCATCATCTTCTGTTTGTCTTGTTTGTTTATCCACAGAGGGAAATTTGCTCCAGAATAATCTTACGAACCACCCTTAACCAAATTGCTTACAAACTGCAGAATTTCCTCTTGGAATTCCTTCTTCGGATAGTTTCCACTTGATTATAAAAAAGTTCCAAAACCAACAGGTAAGAAAATTTAATGAGATTTGAGTGGTGAGAAAGAACTAGCAATGAGGAAATATTCACTGGGAATGCAAGAAGAGCTAGAAAATAGGGGTCAGGAGAGGACATTTAGTGAAGGTATGCAAGAAGCTTCTTAAATGCACAGTGACCACAGGAAGCAGAAGATTCTACATGACACAATAACAGCAGAAAGGAATAAACACCTCTAATACCATAGCACACCGATGTCATTGGCTGGGATGGAAAAATTTCTATCATTTTTATCCATGTGGTGATGAAAGTCAATAAATAAATGAGTAAATAAAAGTCTGAGTCAAGCGGAAACAGTTACCTTCACAATTAAATGAAAACTCAACTCCAAAATTCATTTTGAGTCAATACGAAAGAATTATATTCTATTCCATTTTGCTTTGGCATTCTTTTTCCTGAATGAGTTTTCTTGACTGAAAAATGCTTTAACAAGCCCAAGTAATTATTTATAAGTTTAATTTCAGTATTAAAAAATGGGTAAAAAATATTTTTTTTCTAATTTTTTCAGCAAGAATTATTTCTTACATCTGGTCTGACTTTATGAACTTTTCATCACTTCCCAAATTCCATTTCAGTGACATATTCTGTGTTCAAAAAAAGTCTACCTGTGGTCAGAAGTTCCAAAAAGAGGGGAAGAAAGATATGGTGGAAGGTCTGACTGAGTGCTGAGGGACCCTAGTGTTCTAACAGCCTCTATGAGGGCAGTCCAGGAATACAGCTAAAATTGGAAAGCAATGGAAAAGTACCAAAGTCAGACAACACCAATGCACTGCAGCACCTCACATTCCCAGCTGAAGTGAGTGAACTGTTCACTTAGATGATGAGCTATTTCTCCCTATAAATATTCCTTAAGCAGCATCAAGTTTTCTAAATACATGTTACTTGAAATTAGTTTCCAGATAATTACCACAGCCGGGTTTGTTTCCAGATTGCCTAGGACCACTGAAATCATGGTC